CATTTTTATACCAGGATTTAAAATGCTGTAGCATGTGAATTATTAATGATGAGAGTAATAATTATAAACAACTATTTATTGCAGTTGCCTCTGGACATTTGAAAAATAAAATTCCAGCACACATTATGAAAGGGATCTTAGGCAAAGAGAGTGATGGCCCTTCCTTTCTAAAAAATTAAATCTCATGTTTGAACATTACCATGATACAGCTAATGTTAAATGATCATTATGAGTAGTGCATAATAGAGGTGTTTCTGTGTAGAGTTGTTTATTGTGCAAGTGAAGGTGAAAGAGGCTGATTTTCAAACTAGAAAATGTCAAGCCATTTAGTCATCATGGTAGCTATAATCCTAAATATTCTGATTTATAATAGCCAGCCTTGCCATTAGGTGTCTGTTTCTCAGATGACGCAATGGAAAGTTGGCAACTTGTCAATTATTTATATTGTTATTTTTTTAAAATGACATTGGTGAGAGTACAAAAAGGAATTCTGTAGAAGTTCAGAAGCTCTTCTTTAACAACACCGCTTATGATACTGATGCAGCTTCTCCATATCGTGAACACCTACACATACTGCCTGCCCACTCAAATTAAGGTCTCTGAAGGATGTGCATAGAGGGTTGAGCAGAAAAATGTCCATAAGGAAATGTCCTCAAATGACACTCACCAAGTGCGCAGATCAGCATGGAACAATGCAGTACCAGGGTCAACATGAGCAGCTCCTGCTGTAAAGCAAATTGGAGCAAAGCAGAACAAAAACACACAGTTAGTGGTAGTGTAAAAAGATACACAAAGCAGGTTTGTGTTTGTTTTTGTCCTCCATCAACACTGTTGACTTTAGTTTCTACCCTGTATTGTGTGGACACTGATTTGTAGTAGAGTATCATAGGTGCAAAAAAAGGGGACAAATGCTTAGTGTGGACAGGTTCTTTTAGTAGCTAAGGTGTCAATCCTTTTCTGCCAACTTCCCCTTTTCTGAAAATATTTAACTGATTTTTTAAGATCAGGAATTTTAAAAATGAGTGCACAGTGTTGAGTTACTGTGGGTTTCAATCTGTGGCCAATATGAGATTTATTAGAAAATGTGGGAAAGTTTATTAATTTTTAAAGCATAGTCATATGTTTTTAAAATATGCCCCTATTCTGTGTGGGTGGATTCTTTGTGCTATAGTCACATGGAAATTGTGTGGAAACCCAAAATTTTACACTAATTTCCCTGTTTTCATAATGTTTCCTCGTTTCCTGAGTGGTAGAATATTCTTGTAAGACTTGCATATAGGGAGAAAAAGCTTTAACTTTAAATGTTACTATTTTTTATCCCAGTTGCTACTGGAAGTGGGTTCCAAGAATTTATCTGAAATGGAATTTGGTCCTTGGATTGAAAGAAGTTTTCCCATGCCACTTTGACAGTGCTGCATATGTACGACAAGTTATGTTTTGTGGTGTACTCATATAATGGTTAAAATATTTGAGGCATAAAACTGTGACAGCAGAATATAGTGTTAAATATGTGTGTGGGATTTTCTGGTATTCACTTGATTTTTGGCTTGAAACACAGCAACCTCAAAACACACATGAAATAAAATTTCTGGTATTTTTGCTTCTTCCTTGCCTTACTTTTGCTTGTTCCCTAGTTTTTCAATAACTAGTACTGTACAAGAAAACACTGTGGTGGTATTCATCTTGATTATTTTTTCTTACATTTAAGAAGGTACTTTAATTTTGCAACAGTGACAGTTACAATAGAATGATGCTGCTTCTGTCTTTTAATTGAATTACTTAGAACAATCATAATGTGATTCTGTTCTGCTCCAAATAGCTAATACAGTTTCTATTTGTACCAGTATTTCAGCTTCATGTTGTCACAGCCAGGAAGTAGACAGACTCTGGGAACAAATAATTCAGCACTTCGCAAATCAAAGTGCAAGGTGCTTGGGTGAAAGAGGCTGAAATAGTCCAGGAAAAGAGAAGGAAGATGTCTTTGGAAAGTATTTTTAATCAACAAATTGAAGAACATATGCCTTTCCTTTCAAAAAATATTTTTAAACATTACATAGTACATGAAAGAGTAGGATAATCCACTTCTTCAGACACGTGGAATATAACTGTTAGGCACAGTGTTCCAAACTGTTAAGCATTGTGTTCCAAAAAAGCTTACACTGAAATACGGTAAATACATTAGTCTGTAAGAGTAAACAGTTTTGCTTTCATTTTTTCTATGCATGCTGAAACAGACTAACATGGTTACCTCTCTGGAAAATGTGTAAGGGATAGAAACCAATATTTGTGGACCAGCTATGCATAGACAAGAGTCTCTCAATTTTACTAGAATTTATCCTTAGGATAAAACTTTTATATATATTTTTTTGTTTTGCTTCAGTCTTTTGTCGATTAGTTGGGAAGAGGGTGAAGTATTTATATTTTTATTTATTTATTCATTCAACTTTTATATTGCCCATCTGTTGAAAAGCCACTCTGGGTGGTTTGCAACACAGTAAAAATTATTCTTAAAAATAATATAAAACATAATGTGTAAGTTGAGTCAGGGCAACTGGACTTCTTTCTTATTAGGTTGAAACATTTTGCTACTCATCCAAGTAGCTTCTTCAGTTTGAGGAGAGTTGGTAGGAGACCCTGATTATACCCTCCATGTAGGTTTCGCATCCTCTGGTCTGAATAGTTTCTTTAGACAGACAAAGGACACAGGGAGGGGAGTGAAAATCCCATTTCTGCAATCCTTCTCCACCCGTTGTCATGGGTTGTTAACAGTGGTCTTTCTGGTGTGTGTGGTCCTGGCAAAAAATAAAAATATACAATCACAAATAACCAAAACAACATAAACATAAATGCCACTATTTTAACAGGCAAAATGGTGGAGCAAAAATATTGAGACGACCACTGCTTTATCATGATACAATCTCTGGAAAACCCTGTCTGAAAAGATTCTTTGAGAGTTCCCAGTTAAGGGACCAGGCAGGTTTCGGGTGGGAAGTTGTTCCAGAGATGGGGAGCGACTGCCAAGAAGGCCTGGTTTCTAATCTTTTCTTTCCAGGCCTCTCTCAGGGTCAATCTCAATTGCCTTGCCTGGGAAGATCAAGTAGGTCAAGCAGATCTCATCAGTAGGAGGCATTCTATCAATGGCTTGTATATCAAGCTTATCACTTTGAAGCTGGCACAGAAATGATCAGGTAGCCAGTGCAATGTGGCTAGCATAGGGGCAATATGTTGGTATTTCTTCACTCCACGTAACAATCTGGCCACCATATTCTGGACCTGCTGAAATCTTGTGATTGAGGGTATAGTCATGTAATTAGCCCTGCATTAATGATTTTGTAGATCATATGTGCTTTGATTAATTCACACAAGTAATTGTTAGGGTTCAGTCTCTGCCTCCCCTTTTTTTATTCAATAAACCAGGCGATGTTTCAGGTTCAAAAGCTTTTGTATGTTTTATTTCTTTCTCTAACGGCAACAGTTCAGTAACAACATGTTTAGATGACGTCTCCTGAGAGACCAACGGGTCCCGCAGGGGCAACCAGAGTTCTGTTTCAAAGGGGTTCAAACTTTTAGCCTCCCAAGGTCCTGGGGTGTGAGGGTCCAATCCGGATAGTCCCCGTTCAGTCTCATCGTCCATCAATAGTGGTAAGGTCTGCTCATCTCCCTCATATCCCCAAAATGGGGATTCCTCTTCCTGACCAGTTCCCCACGGTCCAGGAGGTATCTCCTCCGACGTTCTTCTACTCGCCATGCTTTGCGTTCTTCGGCTTCTCTGGCAACTGCTTCCCGTTCTTCCTTCAGCCTTCTCCTCCACTCCCTTGCCTCAGATTCTCCCCAATATGGGGGTCGCTGTGGAAGCCCTTTACGCCTTCTGTAGTCATCCTCCTCCCTGGGAACCTTTACCTGTTCCCATAGTCCAGTCCAGGGATCCTGTACCCAGATTAACTCCCAGCCCCCTGGTATGTTGTCCCTTCCAGTATTTATATTACCCCAAACCTGCCTCCACCATAGGTCGTCCCTTCCCTTCTTTTCCCACCAAAACATTCTCTGTTTGTGTGGCTATATTTGACCCCTTCATGCTTGATTCTAACTCTTGGGTGTCAAGACTTTGATGTACCATCTGGGGCGGAGTCAGCGGTGGAGTAGTTTGCATTCCTTTATGGGCCTTGGGGCGGAGTCGGCGGTGGAGTAGTTTCCATTCCTTTATGGGCCTTAGGGAGAGATGGCACTCCCACGAGGGCCTCAGCCGCCTCCTCTCCTTCACTACAGTAATAAATCATTTTCTTAAATTTGCCTATGGAACATGCTTTTGACACCATGAACCTTTGAATCTTTAGGGAGTCATGGCACTCCCACGAGGGCCTCAGCCACCTCGTCTCCTTCACTACAGTAATAAATAATTTTCTTAAATTTGCCTGTGGAATATGCTTTTGACACCATGAACCTTTGAATCTAATTAAATCACTGAAGCTTTCCAGCCTGCCATTTTAATTGCAAAGCAATTCTTCAGTGTAGATTCATAATCCAATCTTGCTGTGTTAATAGGTGTTATAAAGTGGGACTTGACTTTACCCTAAGCATGTATTGATATTGGCCAAAACCCTGTTTTGTTTGTTTTAAGTGTGCTGCTTATATACTGATATTGGCCGAAACCCTGTTTTGTTTGTTTGTTTTAAGTGTGCTGCTTATATACTGCCCCGTAATGCTTAAAAAACTCTCTGAGCGGTTTAGAAATTTTTAATTATACAGGCTACAATGAGCTGGGTACAAATTTTACCAACCTCAAAAGGATGGAAGGCTAAGTCAATCTCAAGCTAGCTGTCAGAGCCGTTTCTAGGCTTGTTTAAGTATATTAATTTCAGTGGAGTTAAGTATGCTTTCCTCTTTAAAGCTGTGTACAGTGTACTTTAGACCTGAATTTAGAAATGGGAATTATATAATCTCTATTTTTCTTCTGTATTATATGAATTGTGATATGAATTAATGTTTGTTGTTTTCTTTAGACTTCAACGAGAAATGCACAACAAAATGAATGATCCTGCTATCAAAAGAATAACAAATGATATAATCAAATCACCTGAGGATAAACGAGAGTATCGTGGGCTAGAACTGGCAAATGGTATCAAAGCAATGCTTATCAGTGACCCCACCACAGACAAGTCTTCAGCTGCACTTGACGTACACATAGGTATTTGATCAACCATTTTATTAGTTTGTATTTGCATTATAAATTATTTTAAAACCAATAACTTCCCAAATGTTACACTGCTTACAAGACTTCAGCTGCGGTCCTGAGCTTGATTATTTGGATGTTTCATAAGTTATACTTCTGGTAATTAATTGTCATATTATGTCTCAGGCTCACTAGATTTGTATTGTGTTACTGGGTACAGTGTGTTCTGAAGATGAGCACCTTAAAGCTAATCAGCTGAGGCATGCATAAGTAAGGGCAAGACTGCAACCTGCTGTTAACGTTCTCCCTTTGATATGAAAATGTACTGTGCAGAAATATTACAACTACAGTAACTGATATTTATGGATGTGGTGTATATTTCTGATATGCAAATGAATGCATATGGTTTACTAGAATGAATGCACTTGGTTTACTAGAATACTGGGGGTTCCCCATATTATTTTTCACTGGCTTCTTGCATTTTATGGATTATCACAGGCTTGGTTTACTAGAAAACCAAGTCTGTGATAATCCATAAAATGCAGGAAGCCAGTGAAAAATCCAAAATGAAAATCTGAACCATGTGGATAAATGCGAGTACCATGGAATTTGGTTGAATTAATCACAGTCATGCAGTAAAAATTAGAAGGGAGATCACTTGAAGCAGGTTTTTTATGATGAAGAATCTAGTATGCAAAATAAATATATAAAACTGGCTTTGAGAATGTGCATTGTACAGAGCTGTGTATTCTTTTTTCTGTTGTATGACATTGACTTGTAGATTTTAATGCAACTATTTTAAAATAAAAGATTTGAAATGTGGGTTAATCACAAGATACTAAGAATTTCCTGGATCAAGAGGATAGCTGATAAAAGAGTACTAAAACAGATGTATATTCATAATAACCAAGACTTCATAAAATACACAAAATGCATAAATCTAGAATACTTTGGTCATATAATGTTACAGTTTATCATTCAAGTTAAAATGAATGTAGAATGAATGTCACTCAGTAGAGTGACCTGCTCTTTTTTTTCTTTCCATAAGGTTCATTATCTGATCCCCCTAATATTGCTGGGTTAAGCCATTTTTGTGAACATATGCTCTTCTTGGGAACTGAGAAATATCCAAAAGAAAATGAATATAGCCAATTTCTTAGTGAACATGCAGGGAGTTCAAATGCTTTTACAAGTGGAGAGCATACAAACTACTATTTTGATGTGTCTCACGAACACCTGGAAGGCGCCCTAGACAGGTAAATATATCTATTGACTAATATATTGATTTGTTTGTGTCTTTCTCCAAGCACCATTACTGTGTAGCAGCCTCATTCCTAAACAATGGTCAGAATCCTGTTAACAATTTCAGTGCATAACTGTTCTGTGGATGGAATGCTCCATGGTTGCTTTATTGAGCTCTGACTTGCCAGTTAAGCAAGCTAGAGAGTACCCTGTGAAAACATGGGGGGTTGCCCATCTACGAGGAAGTATTGAATGCCTCCTTGCTCATAAAACATGCAAATACTCTAGCCTAGTGCACACTATATGCCGCCGTGTGCAAAAAAGAAGCAAACTGTATTTGGGTTAGTGTATTCTTTATCACTGCTTACTCATTGCAGAAACCGGTGTTCAGTGAGAAGTGAGTTATCAACAGTATGGTAAATTCTCTCATACACAGCAGAATAATATGGGGAACCCCAAGTATTTTTGTTCCATAATTCTATTCTACGTATACTCTCATTATAAGTTACGTATTTCTCAACAGAGTCTCAGAAGATTTCTGTATAGAATATATAGTTGTTAAAAATGAGGTATATTCAGATGTATTTTTAAAGTAAAAAGTAGGTGTTTTTAGAGTTAATGACACAAATTTATAGGAGGCCCGGTATCAAGGCTCGAGATGGAGTTGTCAGGAGTTGGGACTGCTGTTGGTTTACAGGTACCTCCTAATCTCATCCAAACCTGGATTTCCTTTTCAGCAAAAAATCACTTCCTTACTGGTCAGAGACACCTTCAGACTAATCTTACTTCTCTCTTATCATCCTTTCACATGTCTTCCATTTCTGCTCACTAGCATTTCTCTTAGTATGAACAAGAAGCTTTACTTTGTGGAAGGATCCCTTTGAGCTTATCATGTTGCAGTTTAAACAATTAAATCCAAATTAAGAAAGATTTATTTAAGATCAGAAAAAGAATAAAACTGGGAATAAAGCTATAGGTAGTTCAAAGATGGTTTTTTTCAAAGGCTTCTTAATATCCTCTGATATTCTAGATTTGTACTGTTGGCCTAGATGCAATGAGCAGCTTTAGATATTTGGGAAGGTGGCCATATTCCTTATGAAAGTAGTTACTAATTAGAATTTTGAATACAGTACTCAGGTTTAAGATTGACAGGGAATGTGACCCACCAGTCATGAATAAGAAATTCTGACACTTCAGATTTGCTGTGTTCTGGACATAAATTGTGGATGCATCAGACACCCTGCTGTGATCAGGGATAGTGGAGGTTAGAGTTGGGAGGATACCCATGTCTCCACCCCATAGACAAATAACATTTCTGTGTTTCAAAGCAGCAGCTGAACAATGCAAGACATGAGTGAGAGGTTAAAATAGAATAAATTATCAGTGGCTGGGATGGTGGGAAGAGGACTTCTTTCCAGATGATTTAGAGAAAAAAGATTACCAAATCCAGTCAGAGGCTCATCAACTGTAGCAATGAAAAAATTATGATGACTTTTGCTAATTCCGGAAGAGGGTGCTAAGACCATCAGCACAGAATGATTCCCTGACACTGGCATTTTAGAGACCATGACAGAATCAGTGAGCTTTGGTTTCTCCCATCCTCAAATTTCAAAGCTTCAGGTTTTCTCCATCCCTAATACAAAAGTTTATCAATTCTTTAAAATGGAATTTTAAAAACATTCACCCCCAATATTGCTAATAATGAGGAGCTTTCCAGTAAAAAGAGGTGGCAACCCTAATAAAATGGTTGACTATACAGGGATTTGAATATAGACTTTTTAAGAGTCAAGTACGCAGGGCATGATTTTGAGAGGACACATGTGCCAATTTCTTTTTCGCCTGCATCTGAATGTTTTAGGGAGGAAATATGTTCCAATCCAAATGTCAATGAACTCTTAATTAAAACAAAATAACTGAAGTGTGATTCTCTTTTTTCCTGCTTCTGCATGCGAGACTTTAAGTGAATAATTCATAATAGAATTCAGCCTGAAAAAGTAGATCTGAAATGATAAATGAGGTTCTAATAATGTAGGCCAAAACAACGTGGTAAGTTTTGTTAATTAAAACACAGTAAAACAAACTGTGTAGTGGATTAGGACTTAGAAGACTGGGTTCAGATCATTGCTTGACCATAGACATTCACTGGGAAACCACTCCTTGAACAGCTCATATATTTGGGGTTACCATAGGACATAAGCAACCTGACAGCACATAACCCCAACAAAACAAATTTCATTAGAACAGTCACTTGGAGAGCATGCTTGTTCTTCTGAACTCTGGGAACTCAAACTTAACAAACTAAAGTCATATACTCATCTTTTCAGGGTGCTAAAGACGAAATGGTAAACCCTGATAAGCAAAATTTAGTGAATGTAATATTTTGAGCTTTTAATATATGTATGTTCAATGCATTGATTTGGCAAATATCAAACTTCTGTTTCATGTAGATTTGCCCAGTTTTTCTTGTGTCCTCTGTTTGACGAAAGCTGCAAGGACAGAGAAGTGAATGCTGTTGACTCTGAGCATGAGAAGAATTTAATGAATGATGCTTGGAGACTGTTTCAGTTGGAAAAGGCTACTGGAAATCCCAATCATCCCTTCAGCAAATTTGGAACAGGTATGTGAGAACATATATTTTCTATCAAGCTGGTCATGTTTTGCTTTGGCTGTAGAGCAGTGGTCTCCAGCCTTGGGCCTCCAGATGTTTTTGGCCTTCAACTCCCAGAAATCCTGGCCAGCCAAGGTGGTAATGAAGGCTTCTGGGAGTGGTAGTCCAAGAACATCTGGAGGACCAAGGTTGGGGACCACTGCTGTAGAGGATTCCCACAGCATATGGTGTAACATTTCATTTTATTGTTTTTTGTCAGAGAGAATTTATTGAAATGAAATAAGGTATCAAATAAAATATATAGTGTACCATTTATTTAATTGTGTACCATTTACAGCTATAATAATTGCAGCTCTCACTCAACACAAAACAACTGACATGATTATTTTTGACGAATTTTCTGTGTGGCTTCTCTTTGTGCCATTCCTCCCTCCCTCCATCTCTCTCTTTGCTTTTTCTCTCTCTTTCTCCTTAACTCTGTTCTTTCTATCTCAACCTTGTCTTCTCTCTCTCTCTTGATCCCCTCTAACTTTCTGTGGCTCCTCTACCCACCCCCATCCTTGGCTGTCTGTGACTCCCCTCTGTCTCCCCTCCAAGTCTTCCCTCCCTCCCTCCCTCCTTGGCTTTTTTGTGTGTTATATCAGACAATTATTCCTGTGGTAAGGCTGAAATTCTAGTCAACCATCTTGCCTAGATATAAGGCCCATTCACCACAATGAAATTCATTCGTTTCCCTGAAATACTGGGCAGAAATTTGGGCAATTGCTATGAAATACTTCAATAAGCATGTATGACAGAGTTTGCGAATATTTTGCTATGTAAAACAAGCATGTTTAAGGTCCTATACCTTGTAAACCAGTGGTTTCCAATCTTGGCATTACCCGATTTTCTTGGGCTACAGTTCCAAGAAATCCTGCCCAACATAGCAAGGCTTCTGGAAGCTTTAGTCCAAGAAATCTGGGGACCCAAGATTTGGAACCACTGTTCTAAACAATGGAATGAAATGGATTGCCTTCAGGTTAGAGGAAAAAAGCATGTAGAAGGAATAATTTACCTTTAAGGACATAGCATTTGAAAAACAACTATTGAGTTCAATATGAGTTGTGTTAAAATGGTAACAAAGTGAGATCATGGGAAGGATGTGAATGTTTTTTGAAAAACAGAAAATCTTGGTTTGGGAGAATTGCATTGCATAAAATGAACATATTGCCAAAATTTAATTTTTTGCTTAGGATGATACCAGTTATGTTTCAGAGTAGGAATTAAAAGAGATAAAATTAATAATAAATTAATATTGTAATGGAGGGGGCAGGGAACAGGAGAAATAAAAAGTTGTGGTATTTACCACAGGGGAAAAAAAGAGGATTAGGAATGTCAAATATTAGTAAATACTATGTTGCAAATCAGTTAAGAGTTGTCCTGGATATTATAATACAAACTAAGATAATATGGAAGAATATTGAATTAAAAGAATTATATAAAGCAGGGGAAGTACAAGAAAATTGCCCAGCTTCATCCCTTTCTGGATGAGGATTCCCTCAAGACTTTGATAAAGGCCCTGGTCATCACCTGGATTGACTACTGCAATGCTGTCTACATGGGGCTTTCCTTGCACCTGATCTGGAGACTTCAGCAGGTCCAGAATGTGGCAGCCAGACTGGTGGTGGGTATCAGTAAAATTGACTGCATCATTCTAATTCTGGCTCGCCTCCACTGGTTGCTTGTTGCATTGCAGATCAGGTTCAGTGTTTTGACACACACATACAAAACCCTCCACGTTTTGGGCCGATGTTATTGTCAGAGCATCTTTCCTTAATGTAATCTGCCCGACCCACAAGATCATCCCAGTTGAGGCTCCTGCAGGTGCTTAACCTGAGGGACACCCGTAAACCCTCTACAAGAGGTAGTGCCTTCTTCTCAGTGGCTCCAACCTTTTGGAACCAGCTTCCAGAAGAGCTCTATCTAGCCCCCTCCCTGTTAACATTTAGAAAGTAATTAAAGGCATTGCTTTTCAGGGAGGCTTTCCACACTGACGTAGCTGACCACCTCCTCCCCCGCCTTTCCTCTATCCACTCTGGGTGTATATGATTAGTCGGTGGCATCTATTTTTAAGGTTATGGTTGTTGTTGCTTTTAATATTTTTAATCTTTTATTTTGTTCACTATTATACGTGTTGTAACTGTCCAGAGTAGTGCTTTGGCTTGGGAACAGGATACAGATTGAATGAATGAATGAATGAATGAAAAGATCCAGAATCCCTTTATAAAAAATGTAATGGAGGTTTGGAACAAATGGAGGCAGATATTAAGTCCTGGAATATCATCTTTAACCCCAGTAGTAGAGTTGAAAAAATTCCCAAGATATGGGATTAAGGAGTTGACAGGTGTTTTAAAAAGAAAACAAATATAGAAATGGAGGAATGGAAAGGAGGTCCCCGCCGCCACCAATAGTGGCTTCAAAGCACTATCGGCGGTGGGGGGGGGGACCTCCGAGATGCCTCCCATGGCGGCGGAGAAGCCCTGGAAGGCATCCGGAGGCACGGTCTACGGCATACGGACTGGAAAGAGGAGGTGGGGAAAGGG